GCGGTGGGGGGGGCTGCGGCGCTGGGGGCGGGGCAGGGCGGGGCGGGGTGGCCAGGGACACCCCCTCCGGATCCACTGGTGGGGCGGCTTCGGCTTCTGCAGCACTGGAGGCGGCAGCGGCCGGAGGGAGACTTGCGGGGCGCGCCCGCCACCGTGGACCGGGACGTTTTCCCTAGGGGACCCTCCGTCGACACCCTACGCCGCGCCGTCCCGCAGGAGCCGGCGGGACCCCCGGCCGGCAGGGAGCGCCGGCGGCGGCGGCACCATGAGGCGGCCGTGGGGCGCGCTGCTGCTTGGCGCTCTGCTCTGCGCACACGGTAAGCGGCGCCGCCGCGCCTACGCCGACCGGCCCAGCGGGAAAGTTTTTCCCTGGGTCCGGCCGCTGCAGGGCTCACCTCCCGAGGGCGGGACGGCGCAGGCTGGGGCCTGGGACCCCTCGCCCTCACTCCAAGCAGCAGCCCAGAGATTGTGTTCCGGGGAGGGGACCGGGAGCTCCCCCAACTCCTCCAGTCCGAGACGGGGCAGCGGTGGAGGAGCTCCCCGGGCTCGGGTCTGGGCCAGGCTGGGGGGAAGGTCCGAGGCGCTCGCTCGCCTTCCCTCGCTGCTCTTTGAAGAGCTGGGGTACTTCCCTCTTCAGGTTTAAACAGGGTCTCTGTGTCTTTGGTGCGAATGAATGTGGGCGAAGAAAGGGAGGCGGGGAAGGATGGTCGCTAAACCATAAATTGTAAATAGCCCTCTTTTAAGGGGCTGGGGGTCTCGGGCGGATTGCGGAGAGGCTCCAGAGGAATCTGAATACTTGAGCTCTGGGGATTCCTCCACTCGAGGAACAGTTCCTTGGACTCCGGACCACGCTCCCGCCGAGGGTCCTTGGGCACTGCCTGCTCGCAGCATCTTCACTTAGTGGTGTTTTGGGTTCCCTCTCCTGGTTGTGACCAATCAGCTTCTTGCCCTGGATCCTTCCCGGAGGGGGGGAGGGGGAAACAGGGTTGGAAAGGGGCAGAGGAGGGACATAGGGAAGAAACTGCTGGAAGGCTCCCGCAGATCCGCCCTGGCCGGGATAGCTGGGCGGGTATCGCCGAACCTCAGAAGGCAGCCTCCCGGCCCGCGCGGTGGCCCTCGGGGAAGCTGGAGGAATGGCAGCAGGACTGCTGCTTCATCTGCTCCTTATTAATGACTTGTTTGGTGCCGGTACGCAACTGGTGTGTGTGATTAGGGCTCCAGTGGAATCTGTTTCTCCGCAGCCGGCTAGGACCGTGGGTGTACTCCGTGATTTAGCAGCTGCCTCTAGTTTGTGCCCAAAGATCAAAGAACTTTGATCTTTGAATCCCAGCCCTATTCACCCACCGCTGTTCAGCCGGGGGAGACACGAATCTTCCCATTCTCCCCGCTGCTGGGATGAGGCGGTGGGGTTCAGAATAATGGGGTCTGTAGACCACGGCCTTGCGCCAGTTCTTTAACGTAAAGGGAGCTCGTGTGGAAATAATGCAGATTTCGGAACTTGCCTGGCAGGGCGTGGAGATGCCTGAACACTTGTTTTAAAGGTGTTTACCTCCCAAATCCAAAACAGAGTTGTCTTGTCTGCTATTTAAATTACCGTGGGTTTTAAATGACTTTTTCCATGCCCACTCTAACCCGACCGAGCTCTTAACACTTCCTCTCGGAGTAGTAGCCTGGGCGACTCACGTTCCTCTTTGCACCGTGCTCTCCCCCTCCCGAGCTCTCTCCTAGAAGGTTATTTGCAGCCTCTCTGGCGTGTCGGGACAGCGGCCCTACTGGGGTAGGAATGTAGCTGCTCTTCCCACCGCATGGGCCCCTTAAAGGGACAGCTATGCTTTTTGGGGGCTTTTCCCCTTTGGGCTGCAAGGGAAGAGGATGGAACTTTCCTCTCGGCCCCCTGGAGGAAGTTTTGAAAAAGATCAAGGGAAATGGCACGGCACTGAAAAAAAAAAAAAGGGCCAAAACGGATACCAACAAAGCCAGAGAGGAGATTGTCGCCTTCTGCCCTAGGGAAAGGGGAGCTGGAAGGTTCCAGGCTGAGACTGGCCAAGAGGATTTTATCGCTCCAGAGCTGTCAAAATTGCCTACACTACATCTGCATTGAGAACGGGGGTAGAAAATTACGTATATTTTATGCTTCACAGAAGAAGGTTGGGAGGGTTCTGGGTAACTATTTGGGTTCTTTTTAAGGACAAAATATTTAATGGAAACTTCTAAGCATGGGAGGCTTTCTGTGAATCTGAATAAGGACACTCCATGGCACCAAGATCTAAACTTCGCCTGGCCTGTTACTGAGCCATCCTCAGAGGCTTGGAGGGGACAGATTCATGGTTCATCAACCAGTGAGACTGAGCAGTCGCTCAACCAAAAATATCACCACAAGGATCCCGCACTATGTTCCAGGGGCTCAGGGAGAAGACAGTGTGTCATAGTAGATCAGTTAGGCAGATCTGACCTCCGCTAGGAATGAATTCAAGACAATAAGATATAAGGTGCTTATTTGGATGCTGCTAGTACTTGGGGCTTTTCCTAGAGCCTGTGGGATTGGCCTGAGCCTATATAATACTCCAACCTTAAAGATTTTGGAAGGGAACTTGATTGCTGGTAGTAGCCCTGGGTATCTTCTTATTGAGGGTTGACGTGAGGCCTCAGACAATCCACCACCATTTGAAGAGTGGAAACCCTGTTTGTCTTGGAGATCTCTTCTAGGTAAGCTTTGGTAGATAGAGGGTTATTTCTGAGGATGAGTGGAGCTGAGACTGGTTTCTTTTCCATCTGGTGTTGTCATGGTGCTTGGTTGACCTTGTCCCTGATCTTATTGGACTTGTGAAAGATGCTTGGCTTGTCCCTGACTTTGGATTTCCTCTTCTGTCCCCTGTTGCATATCAGATAACATCTTTGGGACTGGCACATGGTATTAAGAATGACAGGTGCAAGGGAACTGAGTATGACCATGTCTGATACAGAGCACGTTGGGCATGTCCATTTTCTGGGCCAGCAGAGAACACAGGAAATCACAGAGGACAGGATATTTTACACGTCTTTCTCATTCTTTCTGCGGATTGACTGCTAATCTTGATCCCTAAGAAGAAGGAAAATGGGAGAGACTGGCTATGTTGCTTCTCCTTTGAAGAGAAGATTCATCCTAGGGGCTTCCAAAATAGGAACAGAATTTTGGAGACTACTTTAAAAAGTAGTCTTGTCTTTTTTTGTGATTGGACACATCTCATAATTTCGAGACAGTTCCATGCCCATGGCCGACTAGGTCTGTTAGCCTGTTCCAGCCACAGTCTCTACATTCCTTGACGCAGTTTAGCCATGAGTTTTGTCACAGTTGCCTGGACATGGGGCATCTGGCCCCAGACTGTGTCTGGATTACCATCTCAGCTTCAGCATTGGAAGACCTTTTCCCCTTATTAGCCTGGTGAGATTCAATATCCCAGGAAAGCCTTCATGCCGACTGGTTGGCTGGCAGAGCCAGGCTTTGGCCCGATAAATAGCTCTGATGAATGCCTGTACTTGCCTCTCTCCTTCCAGCGTGGAGCTGACAGGGTCAGTTCCTTCTCCCCAGCATACTCCCTAAACTGGGCTCTGCACCCATTCATTTGTTCATTCATTCCCCAGACACACATTTGTCAAGTGCTAATCTAATCACTGCATACATAGCTCTGTGATCAAGAAGCAGAGGCAGTCCTGGGTTTGAATCTTGGCTTCGCCACATCTTTGTGACCCTGTACAAAACACTTTATCACCCTGAACTTTGGGATTCATATCTGTAAGTGGGGGACGGGGGTGGAGTAGTAATAAATTATCATGTGAGGATATTGTAAAAATTAAATGAAATAATAGTATGTTCAAAGCATTCAGCACAGAATCTGACAACTACTCTGTTACCATAGGTCTGGGTAAATGTTAGTTGTTTGTTAGCATGCTTGCAGAAGTGGATTAGAGATGGTTCTTGCCTTTGGACTACGGGAACTAGACAACCGTAGTTACACTACAGTGTCATGTGCTAAAATGGAGGCTCAGCCCTTCATTCATTTCAGCTGGTTTTTTGCTTTCTTTTTTTTAAAGATCTTGCCCTTTCTTTTCCCCCTTGAAAACCTAATGAAACCTAAGCATATTTCCCTCCTGTCCACACTTCAAAAAAGAGATTAAGCGATACCATGAGTCTAGGGGGCCCACTCTGCCTTAGTTCTCCTGGGAGAGGGCCTGGGATGGGGGCTTTCCTCTGAGAGCTTCCCTGTGGTCAGGGATGCAGCCAGGCATCTCACCCTAAGGTTGCTGTGACCCGGGGTGAGAGGTGCTGGCTGAGGTCTCTTGTAGCTGGAACAGTTTAGAATTCCAAGCTCTCCCTCCCACTGGCCTGGGAAAGGAGTCAGGCCCCAGAGCTCATAAGATAGTAATTGCCCCAATTTGGGGGCCGGGCGTTGTGGAGCTGCCTTCCTGCATGACTACTGTCTTCAATCAGGAATCCTGTCAGCGTGCAAGGATAATTGATTCAGGTCTCAAGCCCACGACTCGCTCCTCCCTCCCTCCTCCCAGCCCCCAGCTCCTCCACCCCCAAGTTTGACCCCTGTTGTCTCTTTGTTTCTTCCATTTAAGTTGGTGCCAGAGATGTGGTGGTTTTGGGGGCTGCAGAAAGTTGACCATAACCAAGAGCAGCCATTCAAAAGAGCTGATTCTCTAGCTTTCCTGGCTGTCGTTTGACTCCATTTTCTGTTCTGCATTTTTGATTTAGCAAGAAGCAAACATCTTTGGTGCCCTTGGGCACCTCTTACGCCCTTCTGAGCAAACTTTATTCTTTCACTGCACGTAGGCATTCCCATCCTTGCTCACAGCTGAGTGGATTGCCTGCAAGCTTCCCTAATGCTCTGCTCCCCTGCCCATTCAGGTTAGAGTGAGAAGGGGAAGGGCGCTGCCTGAGCCCCAGCTGGGAAAAGCCTTGCTCGGGACTCGGGACTCGCTGCAAGCCCGGACAGGCCTACAGGAGTTCCCCCCTCACCTCTGTGCTGAGCCAGGGAGGATCGGAGTTGCGAGCAAAGCCGGAAACAAAAGACTGGGAGCAAACCTCCCATCTGGCTGAGAGGCAGCACAAAGGTGCTGCTGCATAATTTATCACCGGAGGTTTTCTGGGGCCGGGAAGCTCCTGGCTCCTGGCAGCACCTTTTTGGAGGAGAGGGTCCCTCCCCCTGTCCCATCTGGGTGTAGGGCCAGGCAGGTACAGATTAGGGTATTGGGAGAAACACCTGATTAGCACGTGAAATAAAGAAGCTTTGAGGTTGGAAGCCCTCCAGTGATCTCTCCTCGCTCTGCAGCT